ATCTTTTGGATATGCACACGAGTTTTGAGGATCGCAAAAAATGAACAACATCACCAACGGAACATAATACATAACTGTTCATTCAATACAAGAAACCGAATGACTTGCCGAGCAGCCGTGAGACGTGCTAACGATAGAACAAACAGACAAACTTATCAATACCTGCTTTGCAATCCTTCGAATCCTTTGCTGTGTCCATCGGAACGTACAACATCTGCGTTTGTGTAGGTTCAAATTCACATTTCAATTCAGCACACTCTGATTTTAGTCCATTCAATACTTCAGTACGACGTTCGGTTATCGTTGGAAACTTCAATTCCGATAAATCACTTAAAGAAACCTGAAGGTGCAGATAATATCATTTTAAATTCTATTAAAGTTTCGAATAGGTCCAAGTTTATTGTTAGATGAACTGATGAGAAGACAATTTCTGTTTATTTCCCGCTGAATTCCTGCACGGGATGAATGATGACGGAGGAACTTGATAAGGGCATCTGTTAATGATCATGGGGGATTTACTCCAGGTGCCAGCCACATTTCGAGTCTCCGACACTCAAAAAGATTCCGTTTAGCACAAGAGAGATCAGCAAATGACTACTCTCATAGTCAGCTCGAAGCAAACAGAGAGACAGAAAGAATTAAATAATACTAACCTTGATCGGTTTTCGTACTAACCACAGCGAATATTCATCATCTTCATTCATCAATGACGCGGAAAACTTCACCTTCTTAGCGCTAGGTGGATGATGTGCTTGTTGCTGTTCAGAATCATCCTCGTCGAACTCTTCTTTTTTTGGCTTTTTCCTGCTGATCATCAAGGAATGAAAAACCGTTAAAAACAAAACCTGAATGCTTAGTCGTTATTCGGATTATTCACAACAGCTTTAACCACAAACCACTACACGGCAAACTCTACAAACGACTACAAACTACAACGACTACAAATAAGTTGCGGCGCGTTACCTCCAAAATAAAGGAGAGCTTACAGGCCAACATGGTATATATCATGATTAAAAATTTTTCCTGTCGGGTGGATACCAATTGAAAGTATCTGTTGCATTTTTGCCCTTAAGGCGAAATCGAAAATCT